CCATGTACTTTCTTTCTCTCACTGTGAGAGCACTCCCCGTTGGTGGCCGCATTCTGGTCTCTGCGGCCTTGAAAGCCGCCGGCAGCCCCAGATTTACGGGAGAGTGTCCCGCTGGACGGGGGTGGAAGAGGGACAGAGCATTGGTTGGATTTGGATAGCCGGCCCATGAACCAATATGGCCGCGGCTGAAGTGGTTGCAGGCGCCGGACGGTGGAGAGAGCACACCAGGGCACGGAGATTTTGTGTATGATGACTGGTCACTGGCCACTTCTCTCAAGGATGTTTGGCAGGGGGTTGTAATGATGGGTGCCGGTTTGGTTACATGTTTGTGGTCGTGGTGCCATGTCCGGGCCGTGATCACTGATGAGGGCAGCAGATCTTTCAGTCTGGACTAGTCTGTATTGATGCGAGCGATTGGTGCGTTGAGTGAAGTGGTGACTGATGAGGAGGCCTGGAGGATGTTCTCGCCCTCCCCATATTGGAGGACTGAGTATGAGCATCGCCGAGAGTTGTTGGGCGGGTATATGTGCCGAGGTGATCGCACGGATACACCAGTATTTTCTCATTTTCTTCCCAATTGCGGACAAACTCAAGCAACGCCGATGATTCATAAAGGACTAGTTCGTAGACCGGAAAGACTAGATATTCTCACCGACGGGCCATGAAGTTGGGACGCGTCAGACGGGCGGCAACGACAACAACTTTGTTGTCGTCTATGGCGAGGTCCATCCTAGGAAAGACAGACAGTAAAGATAGTTTCCCAGGCATTTGGGTCGAAGCCAAGACCAGATCAGCAGAGTTACGGTATTCGAGCCAGACAGTAGGTGTAAAGACTGTAGAGAAAAGTTACGGAGGGCAGGTATGAGACCACTCGGCCGGCCAGGAGCGGCCTCTCTGTAGGAGAGTGTGCCTCTCAGACCATTTTTTGAGATGGGCCTAGGGGTGATAATGGCCTTGCGTGGTGAGAGCGTTTCAGCTCCGGCTTGCGATCCACAGGGTCCGACATGGGGGAGGCATCGAAGAGGAGGGTATATAGAGTCGTCGGTTCAGTTGATCTTGTCTGCCCTACCTGTCTTACGCTCTACTGTTACGCTCGGGTCGTCTGGCAGGCCTGAAATACATTTGACTTTGAGCCGCAGTGAGACGGGCACAGGTCAGGCAAGAGGACGTGGATGGTGTGCCGATGAGAAAGTGTGTGTTCGTGCCAATATCAGGCGAAGGGACGGAAAATACAGTGAATGGTGGAGGTTAATGAGTGAGAGAGTGAGTGTGTGGATTTCAGGTCAGATGAGCGAGCGAGTGAGTAACGAGTGCTTGAGTGAGGGGGCCCCCGATGAGTGAGTGAGTTCAAGGTGAAGGGTGAGGGAGGACCTTGTCAGCCAGAGGTGAGACACTGCCGAATTTACCTGAAGAAAAGACAGGCGGCAGGCGAGACACTGTGCAACCAGGGGTCTCCCCCCCCTTCTTTGGGCTGTCTCGGGACGCATCTGGCTGCGATGCCCCTGAAGCTAAGCGACCGACGCGGACGAGGCTCCGGGCGGGGTGCTCACTCACGCTTTTGAACTACGGATAGGTGGGCTGCACCTGTATGCATTCTCCCCTTCCTGGGGCTCTGCAGGTCGGTTCGGGAGGATTGCAGCAACCCACCGACCAAAAATAACGCGGCGATGGCCTCAGCTCAGTGGGTGATTTGGTAAGTAGTCCGTACCGTACGTACGTACTACGTACCGTATTCGTACCTTGTACCTGCCTTATCTTAATCACAATGGAAGGAGCAGATGATCACTCACGAGAGTCACAGTTGCTAACTAATGCTCAAATCTTCATTTTCTTTCTTCTCCCTCAGTTTGCCTCTTCAATTCTCATCTCTTCATCTTTTCCTCTTTCGGTCCTCATTTCCAATAAGCTTCCGAATAAGGTAACTCACGGCACAAGCGACATGAAGATTGCCCACTGAAACTTTCCGCCTCGTATTCTGCTTCACACCTTGGCTTACCTTATTGCTGCTAGCTGCACGATTTACAGTTGCCGCTACGCTTGGCTGAGTCCTGCCATTGCGACTTCCACACAGACAACGCCGTCTCATCGACGCGTCTCTGCGAGCTTAATTCTCTATCATGTAGACTAATGCAGTTAATGGAGGTGCGTGAGCGTCCGGATACGGTGCCATCCAAGGCGTCTAGAACATGTCCCCCAAAACTCTCGCGGCTTTCTGCTCGGTAAAACTCGCCCAACGTTGGTTGCCATTGAATGCTGTTAGTGACAGACTAATGAACAGTCACGACTCACAACCCTCACCCATGTCGGTTCTGCCGACTTAGACTGGCTCACGGAGGGACCGCCAGGGGATCGGTGCTCATCTGTCCCAAACCATCTCTCACACGCCAGCCGCAGAGAATTGATGAACCGCTTACGTGCTGCTGGCTGCTGTCACGGGGTCACTGCCGCCTAGCAACCGTGGCTGTGGAGGAGGAGACAAGCCCATTCAGCCACTCTTCTTCGACGTCCTCAGAATTTTGTGGATGGAACCGGAATCTACCACCCATAGATTCGCTTGACGCTAGCCGACATCTCCCTCCAACACAAGGACTGTTGCAAGAACAAATCGCCATCTGTGAAAAGTGCCCGGCTTCGATGGGATATGGACTTTGACCTCTTCCTATTCCACAATGGTGCAGAAACGAGAAACGACCCGAGCAGAACAAAACCTCACGTCAAGGCGCCAATACCACCTCGTATAGTACCGCTCAAAGCTTCAACGTGGCCGCCGGACCAATGCCAAAACGGCATCTCCCATCTAACGACAAAGAATAAATGCCCATAGCGATGACTCAAGGAACGTACCAAAGACCCTCAGAGGCCCGTTGAAACGCGCGCGTCTGGCGTCAAGCCTACGTCGCAAGAAGTCTGGATCGCCCGTCTGAACCACTCGACTCAAGGTCTGCGTATGATCCACGCGTTGCCGAACGGCAAAATGATTCGATGCCTAGCCAGCCGGCCGAGTTAAGCTTGGAGGGTATTAGGACGGGGACGGCTGCGACAGTCAGCAGCGCCTATGCGTCGGGGCCTTTGCCGACTGACTAGTCGACAGGAAACCGGTCATTCTATGCAGAGAAGAAGAGAAGAAGGAAGATCATCTGGCCGACCATTCTCAGGGTCTGGATGCAACGCCCGTGCCATGTCTGACCGGCAGATGCGACGGTCTCGAGATTGGCTCTGAACTCTAAAGAGAACCGATGGGAGGGTCCAGTATCAGAAGTCTCGTGCTGGGCCACTGTTGGCGACCTCGTCCGATCTATGCCTCAACCCCTAAGTGGGGATAAAGTCTACTTGATACAGGCACAGCTGAAAGATGCTCGGGAGCAACTCCCGAGCCACGATAGGGCAGAGTGAAACCGCCTCTTCCTCTTTTCTGGGGAAAATCATTGTTTTGACTGCTACGGTAATCTCTTCCCGTGTAGGAAAATGAGTCCATCATCGTTTAGTTCTCATACCAAAGCTCAAGAGCACGACCATCCAGAGAAACAGGTCGTTTGGTTCCGGAAACAAACAATCTTCATGAGCTGTAATCCGCCTTCAAAGCGGCAATAGCTTCGGCACGCAGGGCCTCCCGTCTGCTTTGACTCTGGGGGTCAAAGTACGGCCTCTCCCCGAGACTCACGGCACGAGACCCTTGTCTCTCCCCGAGGTCATCCACGATGTAGTCCGGCGTCGCGGCGTGGTAGGCCGAGCGGTTGTCCCAGATGGCGACGTCGTTGGGGTTCTGCCAGCGGTGCCGCACCTGCAGGTCGTGGTTCTCGATGATGAGCTGCACGAACCAGTCGAGGAAGTGCTTCGACTCCTCGTCCGACAGGCCGTTGATCTTTTGGACGTGGAGGCCGACGGCGAAGACGCTCTTCCAGCCCGTCACCGGATTCGTGCGGATTACCGGGTGGATGGCCTCCAGGAGCTCGCCCACGTTTTCGGGCGCGCCGCGCGGTTCCGAGTAGAGTTTGAAGCCATTTTTCTCTGCGGTTGCGTTGAAACCTGGTTGGGCGTACGTGGCTGTCATGCCGTCGAAGAACTTTTGGAGCGGCTTCGATATTCGGTCGTATACTTCATAGCCCGAGGCCCAGAGCGTGTCTATGTTTGGTCAGTACAAGTACACACCAAAGTTGGCGGCGAAAGTTCGAAAGTGCTCACCTCCTCCCGTCTTGGGCAGCTGTGTTAGACGAAGAAGCGCATAGTCACTCGGCACGGGCTCAAACGTGATATCGGAATGCCACTGTGACCTCTGCGTCTGCTTCTTGGTGTAGTTTAGGAAGCGGTGTATGCCCAGCCGCTTGGCCTGCGCCGACGAGATGACGCTGATCTCATCATCATTGGTGTCGCCGCGGCCGGCATTGTTGACGGGGTGGATGTGGAGCTTCGAAGTCGAGGGCTTCCCGGATAGCTCGCCGAGACGTTGGACGAGTTCCTTTTGGAGGTCGTTGTCGATGTTGTCTTGCTTGCGGAAGAATACGACACCGCGCTGCGAGACTGTGGTACTTGTGTCAGTATGGGAGATGAGTATGTCGGTGAAGGCCCGGCTCACTGGTGATTGCTAGGTCACGAAGGAGTTCATCAGAGTTGGGCGCACGCAGCAGCTCTTTGAGATCGAGAGTCGGGTACTCGCGGCCGATGACGGGCGTCACTTCGAAATGCTCGAACTGGTCGAGAACCCCCGTCGTCTTGAGAGGTTCCTTGTGGCCTATCCGTACTTCTGGGAGCTCCTCATCCAGGGGCGGAAAGTCGTCTGCGTATACTGCCTCCTTGACTTGTTCCTTCGCTGGGGGGTCTTTCTCCTTGAGATCCTCGATCTGCTTGGCGGCAGCTGTCTCTGTTGCGGATGGTGCCATTTCTGAATGTCTTCTGGCGCTGAAGAAGGAAGTTTGTTTACTGCGACTTCGACACTTGGACACTTTCTATCGCGGGGTCGAAGAGGGGTCTTGGACACGTCTTATACGCCCTTCCGATATCGATCACCACACCACCACCGCGCGGGCCGTGAAAAAGGCGAAAGTTTGCGCGACATCACACCATATGCAACTCGGATCCTCTAATTGGGTTGACGGTATGCATGCGGGGGTCAGCAGGATTCCAGAGGAAAGACGGGACGACCACCGGTAGAAACGGGCAAATGGCGGGTCGCCGGAGCTCGGCGGCACATGTCGAAGCCGAATCGGAGCCGTGTGTTGGCCTCCCCTCGTCCGGTGTACCCATTTCTCTATGCCGTTTGGGGTAGCTTTCTGTCTTGGCTTCGGTGTCGATGGGCGGGGTAGACCAATAGGATCTGGGCGGCGTTGACATTTGGAGCGAGATGGTTTGCGGAGATGGGATGAGTTGGAGGTTGCATTGCCTGTGGCTGAACAGATCGATGCCGTTGTGGTATTCATCGCGAGGCTTTGGTTCTTCAGATGAAGTTTGTGCCAAGGATAATGTGCCATGCGCGATCTTATGGGAGCTTCATTTGGAGTATGTCAGGTGAGAGAGAAAGGGCTGAGCTTGACCGGAGGAGGCTTTGGACAATAACGGGACCATAGAGGGAGGACTAAGGTCGCATTGCAAATGACATTAAATTCATTAGGCTCAATCGAGCACCCTATCAGATATGACACAAGTTGCTCAATTGCATCTTAACCGAGCTGAGTTGATAATTCGAAATTGAGTAAAGCAAGCACAACATCTTATAGCGGTTGACGGAACGCCTGGTATTGTCTTACATCGGCCCCGGTCTTGGTAGTGGGCACCGTTCCTCACAGCCTGATATTTCAATCAGTCCAGGGTGAGCAGACATGGCAGCAGCCGACGTCTATTAATTCGACAATGATAGCAGACTTATCATGAAATAAACGAACCCTTTAATGACAATGACTGATGACATGCTAATCACTGAAGGCGGGTTTACAAATTACGATGACGGAGACGGGGAGAGACTAAGCGTCGATCCACGACTGCCCGCCGACGTCATCGACCTGTCACCGATGTCATTGCTCTAGAGCTCTTGAGCTTTCTGCAACAGACTACTTTGCGACGCGGAATTTCCCTGTGAATAACTACAGTCGCGAAACTCTGACTTTTCAGACACTCATTGCACTTCTAGTATTGTAAATCTTGCCTTGCCCGAAGAATCATCTCACCTTGGACCGAAGCCAAGATGTCATCCTCAGCACCACCCCAACCCCCAACATCAGAAGCCTACAAGGCACCCTCGAATCCGACAACTCGCAACCCCGCCGAAAACGCAGCAGCACACGATGCCTCCGATCGCGAGACTGCCGCGCGCGATGCAGCGCTAGGCCGCACGCCCTTCCCGCAATCCCAGTCCCGCTCCGTCGACGAGGCGACGCCGAGTTCGCTGGGCGCGGGCGTACACTCCTCCGGCCCCGTGGACGAGACGGAGCGGCGGAATACCGCGTACGTGTCTGAGGGCGGCAGCAGCAGAGAGCTGGAGAACCCCAACGTCGAGGCTGAGCAGATGGCGACGCTTGCGGAGGGCAAGGTTGCCGATGCGGTGGAGAGGAAGAGTGGTACGCAAAAGGTGCCGGGGCAAGAGATAGTTAACGAGGAATTTGGGAGTGGGATTGAGGAGTGAGTATGCCCTTCATTAGTCATGGATGGTGAAACACGTGAGCCAAGTTACTGATTATTAACCTATTGAAAAGGAAGAAGAAGGAACAACAGGAGGCGAGAGATGCGATCAAGAAGGCAAGGAGCGAAGGGGTGGATGTCGATGGTATTGGGAAATCATGATGACAGCATATATAAGAGACGCTGCGATGTAAAGAAAGCATCACCTGCTTGCCGCCTAGACAACTACAACACCGTGCCATATTTGTGTTACGTTAAAGGATCATTTAAAAAGCAAATTGAACGCACGTCTTCAACAAAGTAGTTGCGGAGACATGTCAACCAAAAAAGCAAAAGAGTTGTTCTCCCCTTCCAGAATCGAACTAGAGACCTTTCGATGACAATGTAACCATTACAGTCGAACGTGATGAACCAACTACACCAAGGGGAGGATCGGAGCTATTGCTCCGCTCGGTGTTGCAAATGCACACGGCTGGCAGACCTAAGTGGCTTCAACTCTAGAGCGGGGTTCTCTCCACATCAAATTCAATTCGAGTTGTCCTTCAGTTGTGAGACGCCATCAGGTGTTTTCTCAGCAATCAAAAAACTCTTCTCCTCTCTCCAGTGTTAAAAACTAGTCGACGAAAGAATAGAGTTTGCAGTTCCGGAGTTATTACTATAGACTGGCAGAAGAGAGTACTTCAACAGGGCCATAACCACAGGGTTGCTCAACACCCTCAAGAGGCGGCACCATCACTCTTGTAGCAAAGCATCTCTCTCGGGTGGTTGTCTCTACTCTCTGCCATGTTCCTAATCATTCGAGCAACTTCAGCGGAACTTGTGGGGGTCCAAGTGGAATCAGCGATTGTCTCCTTGCTCTCTTACTAATATCATGGCTTCTGTCTCCGCCCGCATGCATGCGGCTGTGTCTGGCGGGGTTCTCAAACCCGCTTGCGAGCATCGTGAGCATCCCACAGCGGCATCAAATGTCGCATCCCATCCAGGGCGTTTAGCTCAGTGGTAGAGCGCCCGCTTTGCATTCACCTAGTGTCTGCGGGAGGCCCAGGGTTCAATCCCCTGATCGTCCAGAACAACTTCATCACAACTCGTGATGATCATTCTTTTGCTTTTTTGATGTGGTTGTATTTTGATTTCACTGGGAGATGATGTTTAGGTAACTCTGTGCTGTCAGCGGGGTTATCCCTGTTCTCCCCGTCCAGGCTCAAGAGTCAAAAGTCTCGTGCAACCATGCCAACACATCCTCTCCAAACACGACCGGGTTCTCAAGAAGAGCCCAATGGCCGCCTTCCCTCGTGATACTCTTGACATCCGGCAGCACGCCAGCAGCTATGCTCTGTTGAAGCAACTCAGGCCTGCACACATAGTCCTGCTCCCCGCCCCAATAGAGCACCGGCACCCGAATTGTCTTCGCCTCCTCACTCAACATCCTCTCTGACTTGTCCTGGATCCCAGAGCCCGTCACAGTGTACACACACCTTGGTGCAGCAAACCCGCCGTCTCTGCCGTAGCGCTCTATGAAGTCAGCTCTGTGTTCCGATGTGGCGAAGGGTAATGTTGGCTGCGTGCGGTCTTGGGTGATGAAGTCACGCATCTTGCCGGGCGTGCACCAGTTCTCAAGCCACGTTTGCGGGTCGCCGAACGTGACGCTATATACAGACTCGAGGTTCTGATTCATGAGGTCTACCGAGTCCTCGGCGAGAAAAAAGTGCCAGTACTCAAAGATGCCGACACCAAATACCTTTCTCGTCATCTCGTTGACTGTTTCGAGATCAAAGTGGCCAGTGGGCGGCATGTAAGGGACGTTCAACGTGACGAGACCGCAGATGCGATCGGGGTGAAAGTTGTATAGCCGCTGAGCGATCAGACAGCCCCAGTCATGGCCGAGGGAGATGACTTTGGTTAAGCCCTCCGCGTCGAGAATCCCGACAGCGTCGGCTGCAAGACGGTGCCATGCGTAGTCTTCTGGGTCGGTGGGCTTCGAGGTATCACCGAAGCCGAGATTATCTAGTGCCACGACGCCGTAGCCATTTGGGACGAGGTAGTTGTTGATGAGGCCGGCCCAGAGACGCGCCGTGTCAGGCCAGCCATGAAAGAGGAGGAGGGTAACCTTGGAGTTGCGAGCGGGCGAAGTGTAGTAGGTGTAGGTGAAGCCGCGAGAGACGTCGAGCGTCTTCTTGGCCAGCGCTGAAAGGTTCAGAGCTGCCATTTCGGAAATGAAGATGGGGTCTCTTAGGTCTAGCTTGACCAAATGAGGTCGCCATCAAAAACGAAATGAAGATGTTATATCTGGGGAGCCTCTTCAGAGTATAGCTAGCTCAAGCAAACCTCCATCACCCAGTCCCTGTGGGCCAGATTTCAAAGCTTCACTCTTGGTGTGGTGCCACTGGGCGGCCTACTGATCCAAGCCAAGGGCACAAATCTCACGCCGAGGGCGTCATGTTGCCATTGAAAATAAACTATAAGCACTGTCGACCTTGAAATTCCGTCGACTTTGGAGCTGTTCTGTCAGAAAACTCCACACTTGCATCGGATTGCAGCATTGATGGCTCGATTGAAGCCCTCATGAGCTGACAGCCTACGAGCGGGGCATGTTACGCTGGGTCTATGGCCGGTGACTCAGCCGGCAGACTGAAATGAGATTGAACCAAACGTTCTGGCATGTTGAGCGTAGCTCTGCGTCTCAATGCGGAAATCAAGAATTTGTAAAGTCTTTCTCTCGGAGTCATCTTGGTCGAAGACAGTTAATCGTACGCAGTCCAGCACGAGTCCTGCGGCGGTGATGCTCACCACTACTGTTTGTGCCCCAATCTACCAAGAACAAGTTTCACATTTCAAAAGGATGGGATCATATCTTGATGTGGCCCCATTCAATGTGGTCTCTCGAGATGAATGATGGTGAGAGTGAGATGAGATGAGATGAGATGACATTCGGTGAGAGCAACAGGTGATGAGGTAAGCTCAAATGAGGATGGGCCTGGGCGCGATGCTCACACAGAAACGACCCCGCACCACTCACACCGGGTTCCACAACTTTAGTCACAACAACACTCGGCGCCGCCTCCAACTGCGGGACGGACATCATTGGTTTCCCCATCACACGCCGGCGACATGACGAATTGGAAGTCCGGAGCTTGCTTTATGCTGGCTGCGGGCCGGGCCGTTGCTGCCGGACTCGGTCTGCAACATCTGGCGGGCCACGAGGCTTGGAACGCGCTGCAGTCGGCTGCCCGGGTGGAGTCAGAGTCTCAGGTGGAAATCGCCTCGGCTGCTTTTGCGGAGCAGTACCCCGAGTACAACCTCTCTGTTCCTATTGACCACTTTCACAACGACTCGCGATACGAGCCGCACTCGGACGAGTATTTTGACCTCCGCTACTGGTTCGATGCGAAGCACTATCGCAAGGGAGGTCCTGTCATCATCCTCGCGGCCGGAGAGACGGACGCTAAGGAGCGTCTGCCGTTCCTCGACCACGGCATCCTTTCCATCCTTGCCAAGGCCACCGGTGGCGTCGGTGTCGTTCTTGAACATCGCTACTATGGCAAGAGTTTCCCTGTGCCCGACCTCAGCACCAAGAACCTCCGCTTCTTAAGCACCGATCAGGCCCTCGCCGATACGGCCTACTTCGCGAAGCACATTAGCTTCCCTGGTCACGAGGACTTGAACCTTACCGCGCCTGACACGCCCTACCTTGCTTATGGAGGCTCGTACGCTGGAGCCTTTGCGGCCTTCCTGAGAAAGCTCTATCCCGAGGTCTTCTGGGGCGGCATCTCGTCGTCAGGTGTCACGGCAGCAATCATCGACTACT